ATTTTTATTTTTATTTTTATTTTTCATTTCTTTTTCTTTTTAATTTTATTGTTTAATTTTATTTTTATTTTTATTTTTCATTTCTTTTTATTTTTAATTTTATTTTTAATTTTATTTTTATTTTTATTTTTCATTTCTTTTTCTTATTAATTTTATTTTTAATTTTATTTTTATTTTTCATTTCTTTTTATTTTTAATTTTATTGTTTATTTTTATTTTTAATTTTAATTTTATTTTTTATTTTTATTTTTATTTTTAATTTTATTCTTATTTTTAATTTTATTCTTATTTCTAATTTTAATTTTATTTTTATTTTCAATTTTATTGTTATTTCTAATTTTATTTTTATTTCTATTTCTATTTTTATTTTTAATTTTATTTTTAAATTTTATTTTTATTTTATTTTCCAGGGAGCCAGGGACACTTTTGAGAGTTACTACAGGAAGCAGAGGAGGAAACAAGCCCGGCTGGTGCTGCAGCCTCCATCCAACATGGTCCGTGTGTCCTTCCAGCAGCTCCAGCATCCCTCAAATCCCCCAAAATCTCCTTTTTTTTATTTTTATCCTCACCCAGATGGGTTTTTTAATTTGTTTTTTTTTTTGGTTTTTTTTTGCAGCACGAAACTTTAGATGGCTACAGGAAATATTTCAATCAAATCGTGGGGTAGGTGTTGCTTTTTTTTACGGTGTTAAAATTACCAAAAATTAAATTACCCCCCCAAAAAATTAATATAAGTCAAAAAAACAAAAAAATCCCGGAAAAAAACAAAAAAAAATTCCAAAAAACAAAATTACCCCCCAAAAAATTAATATAAGTCAAAAAACCAAAAAAAATCCCGGAAAAAAAAACAAAAAAAATTCCAAAAAAACAAAAAAATCCCGGAAAAAAAAAAAATCCAAAAACAAAAAATCCCAAAAAACAAAAAAATTCCAAAAAACAAAAAATCCCGGAAAAAACCCAAAAAAATTCCAAAAAACAAAAAATCCCAAAAAACAAAAAAATTCCAAAAAACGAAAAAATCCCGGAAAAAACCAAAAAAAATTCCAAAAAACAAAAAATCCCGGAAAAAAAACAAAAAAAAAAATCCCGAAAAACAAAAAATCCCGACAAAAACAAAAAAAATTCCAAAAAACAAAAAATTCCGAAAAAAACAAAAAAAATCCAAAAAACAAAAAATCCCGAAAAAACCAAAAATATTCCGAAAAACAAAAAATCCCGAAAAAACCAAAAAAAAACCCCAACAAACCAACCCCCCCAAATAAAGCAAAAAAACCGAAAAAAAACAAAAAAAACCCCCAAAAAACAAATAAACCCCCCCCCAAAAAAAAGGAAAAACAAAAACCGAAAAAACCCAAACCCCCCAAAAAAACCCCAAAAAACAAAATAAAACAGAAAAAAACCAACAAAAAAACCCCCTAAAAACAACAACAAAAAAAAATTGGAATGGGGAGGGGAGGGAATCTCGATATTTTGGGGGGTTTTTGAAGGCAAAAGAGAAC